TGCTGCCCGCGGGCCGCCCTGCCGCCCCCTTCCCTCCCGCCGGGTCCCGCCGGCCCGGGAGCTCCCGGCCGAGGTCGCGGCCCCAGGACCGGCGCTCGGCTCCCTCCTCACCAGCGGGCTAGGGCGGCGGCGGCGGGGGCGGCGGCGGCGACCGTCGCGGGAGGAGGCAGCCTCGGCGGGGCCGGTAATGGGCCTGGGGGCGCGGGGCGGGGGGGGGTGTGGGCCGGCGGGCGGCGGCGGGCGAGTGGTCGGCGCGGAGCCCCGCGGATGGAGGGTGGGAATGCGGGAGCGGCCGGGGGGCGGGGAGCGCGGCGCCGCTGGAGGGGAGACCGGGGAGGGAGCGGCGGCGCGGAGGTCCGGCCGGAGCGCGGGGGCCGCCCCGGGAGGCCGAGGGGCGGCGGGCAGCCGGCGGGACCGAGTTCGCGGAGCGGAGCCGATGCAGGATGGAGCGGAGGGGAGGAGGGGAGGGAGCCGGGGGAGATGTGGGAGGAGAGGTGGGGATCTGTGAGGAGCGGGCAGGGAGGGAAGGGAAGGGATGGGGAGGCCGGGCAGGGGCTGCGGGAGATAAGAAGGAGCGGGAAGGGTGCGCCGGGGAGAGACGGCCGGGAGCTGGGGGGGTTCCCAGAGGACGGCCATCAGGGGGAACTGGCAACTCGGCATGTCCTTTCGGCTCAGGTTCCCGGTGCAGCCCCCGTGTTCCTGGCGTCGTGTGGGAAAACGAAAGCATCTATCTATCGCTTGCCCCCGGTGGCTAGCTGGATCTCCTCCGCAGGCCCAGGCACGCCGCTGATTGCCTCCTCGGGCCGGCCGTGGTCCTGATGCGTCCTTTTCAGGGAGTTTATAGAGTGGCATGTGACACGCCAGCCTCTCTTCCATATCCAGTGTTAGAAGTTATCCCCGAGAGACAGTTGCCCCCTGCCCTGCAGTTTTCAGCTCAAGGTAAATCCATAGTTGGTTCACATTCCCCTGTTCTGCACCGACTCTCCGCCTTGCAAACCTCCCCGAGCCAGGAGGAGGGCGGCGTGCACCAGCGGTACATGACCGGCTCTCCTTGAGAGGGAGTGCTCCCTGCAGCAGCATGCTCCCGTTCTTCGGAGGTCTGTGTCCTCCAGAGGAGGGTGATCGGGCCTGGAGAGCCGCATCCAGCCTGGCGTGGGTCGGTCCGCACCAGGGAGTGGTGGAGGGGGTGTCCTTGAAGTACCCAGTGGAAAGGAGGTCTTCACTTGCGTTCCTTAAAGATTCGTGATCCTGCCATCACAAGGACACATTTCCACAAAATTGATGGTATCTGCAAAGTAACCAGAATGTATTGTAAACGGAGACACAGGACAGGTCATCTCACTTAGGCTTATCACCCTGAGCAAGCCCGCCTTCCTGTACCCTCGCTACAGATGGTAGCAGCCCCCGTGATCTTACTGGAGGTTCTGGTCCCTTGACCTTTAGCAGAAGGTTGGGTTCCAGTTGAGCGGAGAGGCTTTTTTCTCTGAGATGCATCTTTTCTTTCTTTCTTTCTTCCTTTTTTTTAATTCATTTAAGAGAGAGGTTTAAAATACCTACACTTTGCAAATATATTCTGCATCCACAGAATTTGGCGGGGGTCCCTCGTTTGCTAGTCTCATATTCGGGTTTTAAAGGAACCCTCACAGGCCTGGAAAGGCGGAGATGGAGTGCTCAAGTGCACACATGCTGCAGATCTGTTTGTTCGGTGCCAGCCTGATGCCTTCTGATGTGTGCCGTGGAAACCTCTGGGAAATGTTCAGCCTGAACACTTGGGAAGAGACTGTAAAGCATGTAGGCAGAAAGTGTCAGTTGACCTTTCATTTCCCCGGCATTTTAAAGCTTTTATGGAGGTTTGCATTATTTTCTCAAGAGCATTTGTTGTTTGCATTGCTCATTTTGACAGTTAACTCAGTTGTTGCCTGCATTGCTAGTCTCACCGTGGTTATTTCTGTATGGGTGTAAGTGCTGGGAGCATAACTTGTGTTTCTCTTGAACACCCACATTGATCCTCTGCCGATTGAGAGGTGGGAACGACTGGTTTCTAATTGTGGTTTGAAAGGAGGTTGGTTTGATAAATTGGAAAATGTGGAATCTAACTATAATAGTATTCTAGTTGTAAAGCAAGAGCTCTCCAGGTTTATGCTTGGTGCCCAGTGAACATCTTGATCTAACAAGTTAAGTTCACACCAGAGAGCTGGACAAGGAGACCTGGACTGAAATTTAAATAGATTGGCTGTGAGGACAGAATCGGTGATTTTGTTTTATTTTATTTTATTTTTAGTAACAGTTAATGTTAGAGAACGTGATGCTAACAGACCCTGTGTAGGGTGAAGGGGACTAAGTCATTATGCATGTTATTTACACAGATAGCCATAGATTATTCTCAGGCATTTTAAGGAAAATATTTTTCTCCTGGGTTTCATATCTTTTTATTTTTCTTCCTTCCTTATACCCCTTGTCATTGTCCAGAACCCAGTGTTCCAGGAGTAGAAGGGGAAAGACATATATAAAAGGGTGAAGGAGAATGGAAAAAGCAGCCAGCAATCCCACTGCACCAGAGTGCACAAACATTAACTAACAGATGATGCTCCTAAGGGCAACTGGGTGAAGTCAGTGGAGAATTTTGATGATAAAGATGATTTGGGCCCTAGACCATTTTGTTCAGTGGTTAGAGCGTCGGCCCTAGGACTCAAGGGTCACAGATTGATTCAGGTCCAGGGTATGGACCTCGGGTGTAGGCTCCACCAATTGATACATCTCTCTCCCCCTTCCTTCCATTCTCTCTAAAAATCAATGGAAAAAATACCTTTGGGTGAGGATTAACAACAAAAAAGATTTGGACCATACCCAATGCCATTCAGGGCTTAAAGAGAAATAGTCAAAGGGGACCCCAGGAAAGAACCAGAAGTGCATGTCATAAATCCTGGAGTAAATCCAGGCTGAAGAAAAGGCCGCTTTCCTGTAGCACCACTAGCTGGCTCTCAGTTAAAACAGGCTGGACTTACAACCTTCCTGAGAAAGCAGATGTTCAGCTCAGTTTGAGTTTTCATGTGGTGGATCAGATTTTTAAGTGGGGAGGAAAAATAAAATTTAGTGGTTAACATTTTTTTTTTTTTAACTCACCCACTTAAGTACTTAATTGCAAAGGTTTCCCCCCACCTCATGGAGCGGAATGAGAAATGTTAGTTAATAGACACCTTTAAAACCTCGCTATTCTTAACCCGTGAACAGACCTCGGCTCTCCTCCTTACTGTGTCCTAGGACTGTGACCTCTGATGGCAAGATCAGTAACCTGAAGGACAGAATTGATACTTTGGACTCATTTTTAAATTTAATTACAACTCTTATCAAGTACTTGGTTTCTCTCCCCCCTTCCCCCACTCTCTAGCCAAATTTATTTCAGGAATGTCCTTGTCTGAGACCTATATATGGCTGATGTTTCTTAAGTCCATCTTGTGGCTTAAAGGGCATTTAAAAAAAATCTGAATAGATCTGGTTGACTATATAGAACTTATCCAAGAGCAGGTAAATTGCTTCCAAGAGACACACACCATCCGGAAAAACAGCCTGGAGCAGGCATCCCTGACACCACACTGAGTATATTCTGGGTAGCTGCTCTGCAGTGATGCAGCCCTGTCTTTCTGGGCAGTGTTGTTATTCCTGCCGCATAATTAGCAACTAGTGAGATCATAGTCTGGGGAGATTCTGGCATTACTGAGGCAAAGCAGGAGGCTTCCTATCGGCACATGTGGCCCTGGCCCCGACAGATTCGTATCCTTGCGAACCAAAGTCCAAAAACAGATCTGTAGCCCAGACTCCTTGGTTGGGTGACAGCTGGTGGAAGACACTGGCTGCCGTACTGATGTGACCAGAGTAAACTGTCCTTTATTCTGCTGTTTGTTGTCCCTTTGCTAGCTTCTTTCCAGAGGGCAGAGGTGGCGAAGCTGTTTCCTTGCCCAGAGAGGACGATAGACCAGCGGAACCCCATTTTATGGGGCGGAGTGAGACTGGGAAAGATTCTCGGTTTTGAAGCCAGTGCAGATTCTAATCTTCAGTCCATTCTTTAGAACCAAGGTTGACCTTTCTAGGAGCCTGGAGAGACATTGTATCCTTGTGAAGATCTGGGTAAAATGTTTCCTTGGCTGCTGATGTACTTTGAAATTGAGAGCCTAGAGCAGCATTTCCCAAAGCGTGCTCCAAGAATCATTTGTTTGCCCCTGAAATGCTCTGGGAAGCAAAGGGTCCCGTATTCAGGTGTGGGGACACACTGCTCTGACCCCCACCCCTCCCCATGCTCATTAGCATATTAAAAGCCTCTAAGAGGTTCGCCCGTAAACAGTTTTCTAAACTGTTTTTGACACCGCAGTCCTATTTTCATGTAAAAACCATTAATATCCGCCCAGTGGTTTCCCTCTGTGGTTGGGGCTTTGGCCGAGGACTGAGGAGTTCTGGGTTGATTCTGGTCGTCGGCACTGTACCTCGGTGGCTTGAGTTAGTTTATTTCATATATATACTTTGGGAGATGCCAGGCTGCCTTCACTAGGAAGAATAATTGGATCTAGTCTAGGTTTAGGCACCGCCTATTCTGCTTTGACGCCTAGTCCCTCCCACGGCCCTTGGAGAGCTCTCCTGTGTGATCCTGTGATCCCCCAGCCCCGAGGGCAGAACCAGAGGCCTCCCCTCCTCGGGAAGGTGCTGCGGTTACTCCTCTGTTATCCTGAGAGGGGCTGAGGCTGGAGGGTAAGGGAAACAGGAGGAGGATGTTGGCCAGAATCAGCAGAGCAATGACCTAATCTGGAGAAAGCAGACAGCTCAGGTGCTTTCTCTCTCCAGGCGGAGACCTTCACGCACACACTTGGGAGGGGTCTGTCACTGGAAGGACGGGGATGCTGATTCCTCTTTTCCCCTGGGCAGAATCCTAATGCACCTGGCTACCTGGTGGTGAGCAGGGGCTTTGGGGCCAACGTGGTGGGCTCCCCGAGGAAACCCCTGTGAAACCAATGGATGCATTCACGGGCTCGGGTCTCAAGAGGAAGTTTGATGATGTGGACGTGGGCTCATCAGTGTCCAACTCCGATGATGAGATCTCCAGCAGTGACAGTGCGGACAGCTGCGACAGCCTCAACCCTCCGACGACTGCCAGCTTCACACGTGAGTGGGCCACTCCCCCTGCGCACACCCCTGTCCCTGGCATCAGGGCCCATTGCAGCTCTTAGAGACACTTCTAACCCGCTCTTGGCTCCGCCTTGCTCCAGCATCATAGACAAGTCTGGTCTATCCCAGCTGATCTTACTTAGGCTTGGTTTGTGGGTCCCAGGATGGGTGAATTAAATTGAAGGAGGAGAGGAGTCCAGGATTTACCCTTCCCACCAGAGTGAGTCCCATAGAGTTCTGTGATATTGTAGTCTAGCAGGACATAAATCCTTAGAGCCTGAACAGCTGGGGCAACTCCAGATTCCTTAATTCTTCTGCCTCAATTAGTTTCTTGGAAAGAACTTTTGATCAGGGGTTGCCAGTGTACCAAATTGGGCTCTGCCTGCTTTTGTAAATAAAGTTTTATTGGAACATAGCCACACCCATTGTCTATTATTGCTTTCACATTACATTGAGAGTTGAGTGGTACAACAGAGCCCTGATGACCTAAAATACATACTTCGTGGCCCTTTATAGAAATTTGCTCTCCCATTATGCAACACTATCTAATAGAACTTTCTGTTATGAAAAAAAAACTTGTTCTATATCTGCACTGTCCCCTCTGATAGCCATTAGCCACACTTGGCTATTGAGCACTTGAAATGAGGTTAGTGTAACTGAGGAGCTGAGTTGTCAATGTTTCATTTTAACTAACATATTTAAATTGACGTGTGTGGCCAGTAGCTGCTGTGTTGGACAGTGCAGCTGTACAGGTTGTTTTATCCTGAGAAGATTACCTGGAGATCATCTTCCCAACGGATGTCTAAAAATAGACTTTGTGGTCTGCTTGGGAGAAGTCACTGTGGACCAAAGTCCTTTCCAGCTATGCATTTATGACTTGAAAATTAGGACTGTCTCTAAGTACAGGGAGCACCTGGGATAAGAGTTGAGAGCCCAGATGGATGAGAAAGAATAAGGTCCCCAAACAGGCCGTCTCTGGTTAATAAGATGCTGTGTTCCCTTCCCAGCCACCTCCATCCTGAAGCGGCAGAAGCAGCTCCGGAGGAAGAATGTTCGCTTTGACCAAGTGACTGTGTACTACTTTGCCCGGCGCCAGGGTTTCACCAGTGTGCCCAGCCAGGGCGGCAGCTCTTTGGGCATGGCCCAGCGTCATAACTCCGTACGCAGCTACACGCTCTGTGAGTTTGCTCAAGAGCAGGAGGTGAACCATCGGGAGATTCTGCGTGAGCACCTGAAGGAAGAGAAACTGCACGCCAAGAAGATGAAGGTGCCTAGGGGATCTGGGGCCTGGTGCTTTCCATGTGCCAGTATGAAGTGGGAAACCATCTAGCCTATTTATTCTTATTTTCACACACAACAGTGTGTGTATGTGTGTGTGTGTGTGTGTATTTATATTTATATTTTACTGTTGCCCTTCCTTGGCTTGTAGATTCCAAATCTTTCTAGTGAAAGGCTCAGACGTGGATGGAATTAGATCTCAGTCTAAGACCTTTCTTTTCATGTCTGGTGGGGAGTCTACCAGAGATAGCAAAATGACTTCTCTAGAATTTCCTGCCCTTGCCAACCTCAGCAAATTTTTTTTAAAAATATATTTTTATTGATTTCAGAGTGGAAGAGATAAAAACATCAATGATGAGAGAGAATCGCTGATCACCTGCCTCCTGCATGCTCCCCACTGGAGATCAAGCCCACAACCCGGGCATGTGCCCTTGACTGGAATTGAACCCAGGACCCTTTGGTCCGTAGGCTGACACTTGCTCCACTGAGCCAAACAGGCTAGGGCAGCCAATTTTTTTAAAAAAGGTTTAAAATGTGATTGAAGGCATTCAAGTTTGCCACCCCTAGGACCTGGGGAAGCAGAGTGTTTCAATGCCTTATCAGATGAATATCTCCTGCACAGGGCAGGCTTGGGATCTTTTGTATTGTCTGAAAGGACCCTGCTGTTTCTGTAACCCCCATCACCTCTTTCAGGCAAAAGCAACAGCATTACCAAATGGTTATTTCAGTTTGCATAGCACTGTGTCTGCCACTGATGCACCAGCTCAAGTATAGGAGGAGAGCAGGCCTGGAAGAAGGCCCATCTTAGATTGCTGCCTTAGCACTGCTGGGTACTCCACAGCCATAGTTTCAACCAGTCTGCAAAAATCTCCCCCAGAGTTCCTAGTTCCACATTTGGAGAACACTGTTTCAGGCCTGGCCAAGTCTCTTGCGGACCTGTACTGAAGTAGGTGGCTGCATGATTGCCAAGGTTGTGGGTGAAATCCTAAGGAGACACACTGCAATGCGCTAGGGTTGGAGAACTGGTGGCAGCGGATGTAGGTTAATGGGATGTCATTGCTTTCTTCCTTTGAGAGTTCCATGTCTACTTTCCTCGGCCTGCTCCTAAAGCCGTACACCTGTTTTTCTAGCTAGAATGGCATTCAGGCTTCCCTCTCTGTGTCTGAGGAATTCCATCCCTGACACCATCACCTCCCTACTGCTATAGCAACAGCTGGGCAAATAAACACTGTTCTCGTCATTTGCCATGAAGGCTTTCTCCCCTTTCCCCAAGAAGAATCCCTCTCCTAAATCTGGTAGAGGAATTCTCTGTCAGAACATAACAGCCTATGGCCTCCCCAGTAGGAGGTCTAGAATAAATTCAGGCTTGAGGGATGGGGTTCCAACTTACTAGCAGATGTAGTGAGCAGCAGCACTGATGGCATCTAATGCATCACTGTATCTCCCATAAACCGCCTAATACTTATTTTGCTTTTGGGCTGCTACCAAACAGAGAAAAGCTGCTGGTGCCTGGCTGGTGTGGTTGAGTGGTTTGAGGGTGGTCCTGTGCCTGGAAAGGTTGCCCGTTGGATTCGCAGTCAGGGCAGGTGCCAGGTTGCAGATTCAGACCCCAGTTAGGGTGTGTATGGGAGCGGACTGGTTGATGTTTCTCTCCCTTCCTGTCTATCTAAAATTGTTTGTTTTAAGCCTCGCTGCTTTATTTATTTATTTTTTAATCTTTATTGTTCAGGTTATTACAATTGTCTTTTTTCTCTCCCTTAGCTCGCCTCCACCCAAATCCCACCCCACCCTCTGCCTTTACCCTCCACCCCACCGTCCTCATCCATAGGTGTAGTCTCTTCCCGCACCCCCACATCTCTTTCCCCCTGAGAATTGTCAGTCCACTCCCTTTATATGCCCCTGATTCTATTATATTCACCAGTTTATTCTGTTCATCAGATTTTTTATTCACTTGTTGATAGATATGTATTTGTTGTTCATAATTTTTATCTTTACCTTTTTCTTCTTCTTCCTCTTCTTAAAGAATACCTTTCAGCATTTCATCAAATACTGGTTTGGTGGCAATGAACTCCTTTAGCCTTTTCTTGTCTGTGAAGCTCTTTATCTGACCTTCAATTCTGAATGATAGCTTTGCTGGGTAGAGTAATCTGGTTGTAGATTCTTGCTATTCATCACTTTGAATATTTCTTGCCATTCCCATCTGTCCTGCATAGTTTTTGTTGAGAAATCAGCTGACAGTCCTATGGGTGCTACCTTGTTGGTAATTTTTCTCTTGCTGCTTTTAATGTTCTCTCTTTGTCTTTTGCTCTTGGCATTTTATTTTTTAAATATATTTTATTGATTTTTCTACAGAGAGGAAGGGAGAGGGACAGAGAGTTAGAAACATCAATGAGAGAGAAACATCAATCAACTGCCTCCTGTACACCCCCTACTGAGGATGTGCCCACAACCAAGGTACATGCCCTTGACTGGAATCGAACCTGGGACCTTTCAGTCCACAGGCCGATGCTCTATTCACTGAGCCAAACCAGTTTCAGCGGTTCTTGGCATTTTAATGATGATGTGTCTTGGTGTGTTCCTCTTTGGATTCCTTTTGTTGGGGATTCTGTGCACTTCCTGGACTTGTAAGTCTATTTCTTTCACCAGGTGGGGGAAGTTTTTGGTCATTATTTCTTCAAATAGGTTTTGAGTATCTTGCTCTCTCTCTTCTTCTGGCACATCCATAATTCTGATGTTGATACACTTGAAGTTGTCCCAAAGGTTCCTTACACTATCTTCATATTTTTGGATTCTTTTTGCTTTTCTGGTTAGGTGTTTTTTTGCTTCTTTGTATTTCAGATTTTTTACTTGATTCTTGTGGTCCTCTAATCTGCCGTTGGATCTCTGTATATTATTTTTTTTATTTCAGTCAGTGAATGCTTAATTTCTAGATGGTCCTTTTTCATATCCTCGAGGGTCTCGCTAAATTTATTTGCCTTTTCTAGAAAATTATTTAAAAACCTTATAACTCTGGTTTTGAACTCTATATCCAGTCATTTGCTTTCCTCCATTTCCTTCATTTGTGATTTATTTCTTTGTCTCTGCATTTTGGCTGCTTCCCTGAGTTGATAGAGTGGCTTTGTGTCTAGGTGTCCTATAGGGCCCAGTGGCTCAGCCTCCCCAGTTACCTGAGGTGGACACTCTTGGTGCTCCCCTTTGTGGGCTGTATGCACAGTCTTGGTGTAGTTAAGCCTTGATTGTTGTTGGTATCACTGGGAAGAATTGACCTCCAGACCAATTAGCTGTGAGGATCAGTTGTGTCTATGCTGGGAGAACTTCTGTGCTAGAGACACCCTTATTAGGCAAGACTCACTTCAGTGGGACTTTGGTGCTCACTGAATCTGAGCACCCTTGAATGTTTCCCTTATGGATCTGAGGAGTTGAATCTGGATGGTTCCACTTTGACCCCTGGGTACACTGGCTCTTGGATCTCCAAGGAGGTGCTAATTTAGCCTCTGCCTGAGGCCGCCCTGCAGGAGCTACGGAGAGATCAGCAGATTTACCTTCTTTGTTTGGGGTTTGGGGGTGCCCAGATGAGGCCAGCTGTGAAGCAGTGCAGGCTGCTGTGGGGCCGTGGGCCTTCTTTTGGGTGTTCTGGGTCTCACTGACTCAGCTGCAGCTTGTTAGGTAAGATTAGAATTCAAAGGAGCAGGCTATTCATATGCAAAAGCCTCTGCCCCCAGCTTGGATGGGGTGGAGTCTCAGGGCAGAACACACAGCAATGGCTTCCTGTCAGCTCTGCCCTAAGAGACCCCTGGGTCTCAGTGTCCTGCGGTAATTGCTGCAAGCATCTCTGACAGAAAGCCGCCCTCAAGTTTCAGCCGCTGCAAGACAGTCCAATTTCCCCCCGAATGAGTTTGGGTCTCCAGAGTCCTGCCCAGAACTGGAGTTCAGAGCAGTTGGAAGCTTTCGTCTCCCTCCCAATTCAGAAAGCCAGCCACGTACTTGTTTGCCAGCCCTCTCCTTGCACACCTCTGTACCTCTGCCTTCCACAGCTCCTGGCAGTCTCAGTGAGCTTTTCTCGTTCCTTCTAGTTGTAGAATTTCCATTCAGCCAGCCTTCCTGTGCTTCTGGGTGATGTCCATTTTGTCTTTTAGTTGTAGTTTTGAAATGGTTGTGCTAGGCAGCAATTTAGGTGTTTACCTATGCCACCATCTTGGTTTCTCTCTCTAAAATCATTTAAAAAACAAAAAACTGCTTTTCACCTGCAGCTTTAGTTACCAATAATTTTTTTCTAATTCTTACATTACTTTTTTCTGTCTTTTATCCATATGGAACTCATTATTATGAATAGTATGAGTTGGACTCTAACCTTATTTTTTTTTTCAAAAGACTATTCCCTGTCCCAATACCATTTAATTATTAGAAGGCCCTTTGTCAATGATAAGAAGTGTCACCTCTGTCATGACATATTAAATTCTCCCATCTACATTGGTTTCTTTCTATTGCATCTGTAATCTCTTTCCTTGAGAGGATAGCAGGAGTGAGGGTGATTAGGAGGAAGCCAGTGGTGAGACAGACAGGAGCAACCCTAAGGTCTCCTGGTACAGATACTAGACTAAGAAATCCTCCGAAGTACCACTTTTTCTCTCCTCATTTTTTCTGCCCACAAACAAACAAACAAACAAACAGGTGTGTAGCTTATTGCCCAGGAGTGTTGCATCACATCTCTCCCCGGAGTGGTTCCTTTACCAGCACTGCTCTGTGGCTGGCTGATGAAATAAGCCAAACTCTCCAGTAGTGTGGCTTTCATCCTGCTATTAGCTTCCAGGGCCCTGGGGATTGTGAGGCCTCATTTTCTTTACTTGAATTCTCTAGTGAGTTTTCAGATGCATCCAGCTATGGATTGTCTTTAACCTGCCCTTCCACTAAGATTCCCTTTCGTGGCTGGCTGTCCCTCTTACCCCAGAGAACCCAGCTCTGCCTGAATCACATATGCCACCCTACCTCACCTACAGCTTCTCTTTGAAATCAAGTAAAAACTGATTAGGAAGGAGAAAGCAAGGGTTTACAAGCCATTAATAGTTTGCTTATATTTTTCTCCTTCCAGTAAAATGCAACTCTCCTATGTATGAATAGGTAAGTCTTCACATTGGGAATTCAGGTTCACAGACAAAGATCTGGTAGCCTTGTACTACACTTTAATGAAATTTACTGCCCAAAAGGCGGTTTTGAGTCCTTTTAGGGGTGCAAATCGAAGGGTGTTTGCAAACTTACCTCTACCGCCAAGGAGCATCCGACTATTATCGGTATAATACACCACACGTGCTGTGGCTGCTGTGTGAGCACGGTTGTTTCATTGCAGATCGTGCTTCTGCAGAGGCTCCCTGCACGGAGGCTCGTGCTGGTGACGCTGTAGGCTAACCTCTCCTTCCCGTTTCTTGGCAGCTGACCAAGAATGGGACAGTGGAATCCGTGGAGGCCGATGGCCTGACACTGGACGATGTTTCCGATGAAGACATTGATGTGGAAAACGTGGAGGTGGACGATTACTTCTTCCTGCAGCCTCTGCCCACCAAACGGCGACGGGCCCTGCTCAGGGCTTCCGGGGTCCACCGCATCGATGCTGAAGAGAAGCAGGAACTGCGAGCCATCCGCCTGTCGCGGGAGGAGTGTGGGTGTGATTGTCGGCTGTACTGTGATCCAGAAGCGTGTGCCTGTAGCCAAGCTGGGATTAAATGCCAGGTCAGTCCCAGTCAGGCCTGAGGTGGTGCCTGCACTAGAATCGGGTGTGCGGCGTGGGTGCCGGTGAACCCGGAAGGCTACCCATCAGAGGGTGGCTTCCTGGGCCTGGACACTCCACAGCCTCCTCCCCCCGCAAGGAAACTAGCACGACAGGATTCAGGCTGCGGAGATGGCGGCATCTTCTCTGTGTTTTATACCTTGGGGCTGATAAGCAGCTGTCAGCCTATGGAGGAACAGGGGTTAGTAAGTTTAATACTTAGTAGCCGTCTCCTAAATATTGATTGATTAAAGGAAGCAGAAAAATGAGGTAGGCCTTTAGATTTTATCTTGCAAATGCTATTCACAGTGCCTCCACTTCAATTTTATAAAAATCAATAGTTCTTGGGTGCTGACATTCAGGATCACACTGGGCCTGGCAGAGCGTAAATGCCTCGTGTCCATAAAGGAAGCAGCATTCCCTCAACCGGCCCATCGTCTCCCAGCTGGCCCATTGATGGACAGCTTGGAAGACACATCTCAATGAAAAACAGCAGTACCATCCCGAAGAGTGTGTGGGACTTGTATACTGAGGATGTGGCTGCTGAGTCCTTGTGGCTGAACTGCTGACCAGCCCTATTCTCACATTTGGGTATCGAATAGCTGTAGTGGACCTAGCCTAACACTGCTTGTCAGACTGAAGTCCCATAATGAATCAGTCTATTATCCACAGACCTGAGGACAGGCCTGATGAGCAGACTGTTCCTAAGAACTGAAATGGAGCCGGGACCGGTTTGGCTCAGTGGTAGAGCGTCGGCCTGCGGACTGAAGGGTCCCGGGTTCGATTCCGGGCAAGGGCATGTACCTTGGTTGCAGGCACATCCCCGGTGGGGGGTGTGCAAGAGGCAGCTGATCGATGATTCTCTCTCATTGATGTTTCTAACTCTCTATCTCTCTCTTCCTCTCTGTGAAAAATCAATAAAATATATTTAAAAAAAAAAAAAAAAAACTGAAATGGAGAGTTCTCTAGGTTGACATCAGAGGAAGACATTGTGTATTTGTACATACCAGCTGACTCATGTTTTTAATTTTATTTTTGCTATTTTCCCCCCCACCCCCACCCCCACCCCTTGGGGATCCAAAAGAGAGAAAAGGAAGTAGAAAGGATCTCCTTTCTAGATGGTCTTGTTCTGTAACTTAGTTGTCTTGGCAACTGCTCTAGAAACAAACTGATTGCCCTGACTGGTTTGGCTCAGTGGGTAGAGTGGCAGCCTTCGAACTGAAGGGTCCCAGGTTCGATTCTGGTTAATGGCATGTACCTTGGTTGTGGGCACATCCCCAATAGGGGATGTGCATGAGGCAGCTTATTGATGTTTCTAACTATCCCTCTCCCTTCTTCTCTGTAAAAAAATCAATAAAATATATATATATTTTTAAAAAGCAATAAACTGGTCAACCATCAGGAAAGATGAAGCTGGCAATGAAAAGCTGGCTCTGTTATTGTGTTGGAGGCTGTTTTGCTTCGTTTCCCCAGAATGTATTTCTTTGGACTAGCTGGGACTTCTGCTCCTTCCCTGCCTGTCATCACAGATGACAAGGGGCTTAGGCCCCAGCATTTTATTTTCTCAGTAAACAAGGTTAGTTTGGAAAAGTCTTTGAGACACGTAAATTTCTTGTTCTGAGGCATGTTAGCATTCAGAGAGGCATCTCGGGACTTTTGAACTTGGAAGGGCCCTTTGATATAATATTTATCTACTTCTTGTTTGAGAGAGAAGCGAGGCTCACTGGAAATTAACTACCATCTGTGCTCTTCTAGCTCATGCTGCATCGTTTTGAATTGGCTGTTTTTTGTTTTTGTTTTTGTTTTTTTATACATTTTATTGATTTTTACAGAGAGGAAGGGAGAGGGATAGTTAGAAACATGGATGAGAGAGAAACATTCATCAACTGCCTTCTGTATGCCCCTTACTGGGGATTGAACCCTCAACCACGATGCACGATCTTGACCAGAATCGAACCCAGGACCCTTCAGTCCACTGGCTGACGCTCTATCCACTGAGCCAAACTGGTTAGGTCTCTTATGAGATCGCAAATGCCACCTGCTTGTTTTGCCAGCTGATGTTAAACTGATGGTCTCCTCTTGCCTCAATCTCCTTGTCCCCGTCTCAGGTGGATCGAATGTCCTTTCCATGTGGCTGCTCCCGGGATGGCTGCGGGAACATGGCGGGGCGCATTGAGTTTAATCCAATCCGAGTTCGGACTCATTACCTCCACACCATCATGAAGCTGGAGCTGGAGAGCAAGCGGCAGGTGAGCCGCCCACCCGCCCCGGACGAGGAGCCCTCGCCCGCCGCCAGCTGCAGCCTGACCGGAGCCCAGGGCTCGGAGACACAGGACTTCCAGGAGTTCATTGCCGAGAACGAGACCGCGGTGATGCACCTCCAGAGTGCGGAGGAGCTGGAGCGGCTCAAGGCCGAGGAAGACTCCAGTGGCTCCAGTGCCAGCGTGGACTCCAGCGTGGAGAGCCTGGGCGTGTGCATCCTGGAGGAGCCCCTGGCTGTTCCTGAGGAGCTGTGCCCAGGCCTGACAGCGCCCATCCTCATCCAGGCTCAGCTGACCCCGGGCTCCTCCGTCCTCTGTTTCGCTGAGAACGCGGACCACCCAACGGCCTCGGCAGCCACCAGCCCATCCTACTTGAACAGCGGGCCCCTGATCTATTACCAGGTGGAGCAGAGGCCAGTCCCCGGGGCCAAAGGAGAGCCTGGTCCGGGAGAAGCCCCACCCTCCCTCCCCAAGGAGAAAGATCTCAACGTCTTCTCTGTCCCCTTTACCTCACTGGTGGCTTGTAGCCCCACAGACCCCGCCGTGTGCAAACCAGAGGCAGGGAAAGCCTCCACCCTAGAAGCGCTGGGGCCGGAAGCTTGTGTCCCTGAGGAGCGGGAGAATGAAGACTTCCGCCCCTCGTGGCCCCCCTCCACCCTCCCCTTCTGCACGGACGGTGAAGAGGGCTGTGCGGCAGAGGAGACCTCACAGCCCGGCGAGGACCGGCCCCCCGAAGAGCCTTCTCTGGAACTCCCTCTGGCAGTGTGATGTGGGGATGGAGCTTCTGCCTCCTACCCATTCTCTATTTATTCCCTTATTTTACCTGACACCATTTCAGAACAAAACTAGAAGCAGCTGCTGCTCCCATGTTATTTTATTGGGGTCTTGGGGATGGGTGGGAGAGGATTGTTTATACAAGTATTTTTTAAAGGTAACAGAACCAAGGAGACCAGCCCCAGCTCGATCTGGGGACAGTCTCGGGGCAGAGAAGGCCACGTAATGCTGAATACCGAGCTATCTGGGCCATTGGATCTCAGAGGAGACACCAGGTAATCCAAGCAGCTCTTCTTTTCACAGGATCAGAATCCGTCATTTGAACAGCAAAGCCCCTCTCCTAAGCTCCAGGCGGCTACACGCTCGTTTTTCTCGGGGGTTACTCCGATAGCCCGTTTGGGTATACTGTATGGTCGGAAATGTCACCTGGAGAGGAGGGGGAGAAGGTCTCCACTTGTGTACAAAACCTCCAGGATTTTTACAAATTGAACCTGCCTTCCCCAGCCCCCTACTTGGTAAATAAGTTAATATTTGACATGTTTGGTGTTCTCTGGCCTGTTCCCCACACTGGGGATTCCTGGGCTGCAACTTGAATTGTTTCTTTCTCATGTCTTAGGTACTAGAGTTTAACTTGTCTGTCTCCCCTCCCACCTCGCCCCCACCCCTTTGGAAGAAAGAGCTGCATTGGCTGGGGATGTGGCTTAAAGAGCCCCTGTCCTCTGCGTGCGCCTGGCAGCAGCCGTCAGGCAGCTCCAGGCTGGCTCACTGTTCCATGGGAAGTCTGGAGCGCTCAGTGTGTCCACAGGAGCAGCAGGAACAGCGCTATCTGGAAGGATGAGGACTTCGTGCCGTGCTTGCTTTCACCCAGGTGTCCCCCCCCCAACCCCCCACGGGGAGATTGGAGTTTTAGAGGAATGTAGGATGTGGCATTCTAAGGTCACCAGTTTTGGTTTGGGTTTTCCTTCTATATCTACCCTTGGTGGTCCTTGGATATACAGGGTTGGAGAGTTCTTAACACTATTCCAGTTCACTCCCAGGAACTGCAAATATTAGACCCCTCCATCTTGATATATGAAAATTAGAAATCAACCCATTCTTAAATGCTACATGTAACCCCCAGGTTCCAAAGAGCTAAAGGTCTGATAAAGCTGTGGGACTCATTCAGTTCTTGCCTCCATCTGAGGACACCATTCCTTTTCCTCCCTTACCCTCCTACATTCCTGGATGTACTGCATTGACCACCACTGACTTCACTAGCAAAGTTATCACTGTCTCCGTTTTAAAAGGGAGGCAGCAGGGAACAAAGCACGCAGGCGTACTTCCACCATGCTTTGTATCTGGTATGATTTATTAACCAGGAAAGAACAAAGTGAAAATGTTTTTGGTGGGGAGATAACTATTCCTACCTATCTGGATCATAAAGCCTTTTCTGATAAGCCCTGGTGTCTTAAAGCAACCTTCATGTAGATCAGTAGCATTTTACCTGTAAAATTGCTAAACTGAGCCTGCTAGGCCTTGTCCTTAACACAGATACATCTTGTAACCCCTTCTTCCTCTCCTGTTCCTGCTTTTGCAGGGCTTGGAGGGAAGTTCTTGAGTATATAGGTCCTTAGCACGCTCCATCCTCGAGCCTCACAAGACAGAGTTGGACATCTGAGGTACCTGAGAGCTAGATGCTGTCCCTAACTGAGCTGCTGCACTCCCTGCCGGAGACTGGTCCCCTCAGATACAAGACTGAAGCTTTAATTGGGAATAGGACTCGATGGAGGAGAATCTTTCTGAAAGTGTTGAAGTGGGAGGGTGAGCGCTACACATTCCCTCCTTAGGAAGGATTCCTAGTCCAGGAAGTGATTCCAGGTGCTCAATTAAGAAACACGTTATTAGCCTTTGGGATCAAAAGAATCTGACTATTAAACTCATTGCCAACCCCCAAAATAATGATTTTTCTGAAGAAACTAGTTTCTTAATCTAAATCCCACATTAACCCAGGGATTCTAATTCACACTGATCCCAAGCTTTTAAGTGCTAAGTGTCGAAATTCGGCATTAACTGTCTTGTTAAGCAAAGGGCCTTTTCTGCAATCTCGTCCATCTCACTTCTGGTGCTGCTCGAGTTGGACACAGTTGGAGCTCATGGAAAAGTTAGGCCTCTGATCACAGAAGCAGAGCTTCAACCCCACTCAGTCCAGGCCTAGATAAAAGAAATTACTTTTTATTGCAACGCATTCCTTTCTCACTGTATACAGGTAGTATTTTCAATGTGAATCCAAAGCTTGTCTGGTTCTCTGGAAACAAATTATTATTTTTTGCCTTTCAGGTCCTTTACATTGTGATAATGTTGTATTTAAAGAGAATATTTAAATGTAATATTAAAGAAATATTCAAAAGAACGTTGTGTTACTCTTGACCTTGGCAGACCACAATCCAGTTACTTGTTAGAAAAAGGATGCTTCTCCAGCCTGTATATAAACTTAATTAGGTCAGTTAGGGATTGTTCACAATAGAAGTGTTTTATTATATGATGGGAAAACAACGTTCTCTTTGGAGCATCAAGAGCTTGACTTGCCTCATCTGTGTTTATGCCCCTCATCAGCTGAAACAGCCTTGATCCTGCCCTGCTGGGGCTTTCCCTGTCTGTAGTCCCTACTCTTGGGGCCTGGATTCTAATTTCATTGCTTGCTATTTGTATGTACAATTTTCTGTTCCTAGTTAGCATTTAAAATCCAGCAATCAAGTCAGTTCCTTCATAACCTCCATCCCATCAGAAAGTTCTGTTCCAACCAATTCTCTCCCCAATGTCCGGTTATGACAGTCTTGTAAAGGAGCCCTAGCAAAATGATTCGAGTATGCATAAGAGAATTTCCAGCAAGTGACTTCAGTCTTTACTTGGGTTTAAAGACAGTGCTTGATGCATTTACAGTAAGTTACCGTACTACAGGCCACTGATGTGCCTTCATAGACAAGCTGAACCCAACTGACTATCCTGATGCAGACCTCTCCTGGTCTGGGTGGGATTAGTACTGTACAGACTTGATCCATGGGCCAAAGGCAGCCGCTGTCGGTTAGTTGAATGGGTGCCCCCAGTGGAGGCAGCAAAGAGTTTAAGATCCACAGGTGGTGGCACAGCCCAGAAATTAAGACAAGGTGTGAAGGCTGTAAATATTGGGTAAGCGGTCAAGGACTTGTAGTTCCTTCTGTCTTGCCCATTAGAATGTTCCCGTTATTCACTAAAAATAAAGGTGGGAAAAGGAAAAGGAAAGAGGTTAACCCAGGGAGGGGGACAAAAAAATAAAATCCTATTTTTGGTCATCTCAAGGTTGAGGGGAGCATCAAAGTGCATGCAGTTTAAGTAGTGCTGTTCCCCTCAGCAGCCAGAAACAGCTCAAAATATGGCAGTGAGTCAGTCCTGGGCCAAATGAAGATTCCCTTCTGGGCCAAAGCTCATCCCAGAGTCTGAAATTAACATATTCCAGTAACAGCCCAGTTCAGTAGCTGCTTCCAGTTTCAGTTAATTCCAAGGGCTACCTCTGGTGAGAGGATCTGTTCAGCTCCAGCTCCCACCAGTGTACCACACCGGAGCCCGTGGCACCCGCTCCTCTGCCGCGCATCCAGCGCACACAGGCTGCCCACAAGTGCTGTTTGGTCCCACGCTGCCACACTGACGGCAGGGCAAGGCCATCCGCTCCACGCTCGCTCAGCGCCGTGTCCCAATGTAGTTGGTGGAAAGCAGGACCACGTTGTGTAGCAGAAGAGACAGCTCAGCTTCTGAAAACACCATCAATGTTAAAGGTTTGGCCAGGGGACAGTTTGCCTTCTAACTGCCTTGGTTTACAGGACTTGAAATTGCAGGTGGGAAGCCAGTGCGGGGAATATGACGTTAAGGGGCTTTTCTCAAGTTCCCCTTCTTCATTCCAGTGCCTGCATGTACGCTTTTCCTTCCTTCCACCACATATCCTACCTACTCATCCTCATGTCTTCACTCTCCTGTGACAGCAGTAGAAAACACAGATAGTAATGGTATTAAACAGCACTGCCACCCTTGGGATTCTTCTGGTAGAAGATGGTGCTCTGGGGACAAGTCTCAGCTCTAAGGCGATTAGCAGGCCTACCTTCCCTCACTTCACAGGCTTGAAAACATCAAGGCCTACCTCACCAAAGGTTCCAAACGGGACCCACGAGCTAATACCTACCCTTAGAAACTTTGTGTTTAGCTAGCTGAGTGGTTTGGTTTTTAATCTGAATTTAGACTAGTGCTTCTCCACTAGGACAATTTGGCTCTCCTTTCAAACTGGGACATCTGGCAATGTCTGGAGACATTTTGGGTTGTCAGAACTAGGGAGATGGGCACTACTGGCATCTAGTGGGTAGAGGCCAGGAATACTGCTAAGCATCCTCTAATGCCCGGGACAGCCGTCATGATAAAGCTTCAGTAATGCCAAGGGTGAGAAACTGCTTTAGACAAGCATGTGCCCATGCTCGTGCCCCCGCAATCCCCACACTCACTCCATCTTGCATGGTCTACTTCGTCACCTGCCTGTGGGCTAGTGAGTTTGTACTTTCAATTAGACATGTAGATAAGGGTCTCACAGTCCTCAATAATTAACTCCAAAATAATCTTTGAATAAAATACAAAATTAGTTGGATTTTGGTTATGCAATAGGGCTTTGTCTGACCTTTCAGGCTGCAGGAAATCTGCAGCCATTCTGCCAGCCAAGTTCGACACCTCTCGTCAGCAATATGGGTAGAATTCAAGCCACGAAGATAACAAGCCTGTAACACTCAGAAGAGAAATGGTCCTTAATAATCAGAGTGAGCATGCCAAGGAAATGTAAACCTACAACCCCAAATCTCTTTCAAATTAAGTTACAATTGCATCCCAAGAGGGTGGCATTCTCCATGGCAATTTGAACTACGATGACAAGCAAAGAGGCCTATATAATCTAAAACAGTAGGACTAGCCAAAACCAATTTGGCTTAGTGGATAGAGCGTCAGCCTACAAACTGAAAGGTCCAGGGTTCAATTCCGGTCAAGGGCATGTACCTTGGTTGCGGGCATATCCCCAGTAGGGGGTGTGCAAGAGGCAGCTGATCGATGATTCTCATCGATGTTTCTAACTCTCTATCCCTCTATTCCTCTCTGTAAAAAATCAATAAAATATATTTTTAAAAAACAAAACATTGCCGAAACCGGTTTGGCTCAATGGATAGAGCGTCGGCTTGGGGACTGGAGGACCCGGGTTCGATTCCGGTCAAGGGCATGTACCTTGGCTGCGGGCATATTCCCAGTAGGGGGTGTGCAAGAGGCAGCTGGTCGATGACTCTCTCTCATCGATGTTTCTAACTCTCTATCTCTCTCCCTTCCTCTCTGTACAAAATCAAATAAAATATATAAAAAAAAAAAAAAAAAAAAAAAAAAAAAAAAAACATTAATGACAAGAGAAAATCATTGATCAGCTGCCTCATGCATGACCCTCTACTGGGGATCAAGCCCACAACATGTGCCCTGACTGGAATTGAACCTGGGAGCCTTCAGTCCGCAGGCTGATGCTCTATCAACTGAGCCAAACTGGCTATGGCATTATCCTTGATTTTTGAAGGACCAGGAGAAAAGAAACATAAACCAAAATGACTATGGACAATTCCTTCGCAGTAGTCAAGATCACTGAGGGGGAAGAAAAAGACCTAGAATGAGAATAAAGAGCTTGGATTTTGCTAAAACAAGCAAGACAATGAGCTCTCTGTAAGCTCCCAGTCCTGAAAATTTCTAAGTCCACCAAGAATTGAGGGTTGATATTTCAATGAAGCTCTTACCGATTTCACTTCCTGTTCAGTCAGCTGGTTAATCCCCAGTTTTGCCAAAGCCTTGTCTAGCTGATGAATCACAGTGGTATGAGTCTTTAAACGTCGTCTCAACAAGAAGGAAGGCAGGTGAGTTGTGAGAAGCATGGCTCGACTCAAGGCTTTCTGTGATAGTAACAACACAGCAGGAGCAAGTCAGTATAGTAGTATTACTGCAAGCAAAGCCCTGAAGTTGTGGAAAAGAGAAAGTCCACTCACTATTTGTGAGGCATGGAGCTGACTCATGCCCAGGGGAGGTTTAGAGAAACACTTTTTCAGAGCCAGGATATCAGGTATTGCTGGGTGGGTACCACGCTGTATCTTGGGAGAGGAAAGAGATGGGTAGATGTTAACAACGTGCTGACTAGCCCTCCTACCTGGTTTTCATGCACGCTGGCTGTAACAAGATTACTAGTTTGGAACAAGGATTAATTGGAGGAATACCTTGGTGCACAGCTCTGTCATATGCCACCGGAGTCCTTTTTCAGAAATGAGAGGGCTAACTTTTTCTAAATAACTAAGGATTTCTGGGTGGGACTTTTTCCGGATATCATGATAGATATTTAAGAAATCAATTTGTTGCTTTGGGGTCCAGAAATGTCTGACCAGCAGTTGCCTAGGAAACAGGTACCTGAAAGGAAAGGAATAACAAATTCACTTGCTGACACTGGCATCTTTCAAAGTGAATAAAGAAAGCATTTGATAGACATGAATAATAAAAAGAGATGGAGACACTGCTTTGCTAACACACTGTCTCAGACCAAGGTTTAGGATACACTGAAACGCCACTTCCAGCAACATGACTGAGGTCCTGGGAAAGGAAGTAGCACGAAGAAGCAGCAATCAGATAAAAAGACTCTTTTCGAACTAAAGCAAAGAAGAACATATTTTGGACAGAATTTCGGAGCTGGACATGGTATGCAATGTTGACAACCTCAAACAGTAACACAGTCCTTAGGTGTATACAAAATAGAAAAGGCAAATTTGCTTTTAATTAATTTCTCCATCTGTGAGGTGGGTTTAAAACATGGTCATAGCCTTAGCAGGTGTGGCTCAGTGCTTAAAGCATCGGCCTGTGGACTGAATAGTTCTGGGTTGGATTCCGGTCAAGGACACATGCCCGGGTTGGGGGCTCAATACCCAGTACAGGGGCAGCATGTAAGAGGCAGCCAATCAATTATTCTCTCTCATCCTTGATGTTTCTATCTCTCTCTCTCCCTTTCCCTTTCTCTCTGAAATCAATAAAAATATGTTTTAAAAAATACAAAAAACATGGCCACAAACTCTCTGGCACTCCTCTTGAGAAATGCCCCTTTTTAATATCTAGGTAACTGACTCAACCAACAAAAGAGAGCAGAGTGAGTCTTCTCTTTCATAACCTCCAAGGCTAGGTTATAAAAGGCCATGCAGATCCTTATTTGCTGACACTCACTCTTGGAGCCCTGAGCTGCTATGTGAGGAGCCCCACTCCCTGAAGTCACCGTTTTAGAGGCTACATGTAGGCGCTCTGGTTGACAATCTCAGTCTCCCAGCCACCTCTCGAACATTCATGACACGTTCATTAACCAGCTAACTCACTGAGGGACCGCCGTTAACACCACATGGAAGAGAAATATCCATTCCTCACCTGAGTTCTGCTCTAATTCCTGACCCACCAAATCGTAAAAATGGTGCTTGTTTTAAGCTATTAAGCTTTGAGGTTGTTTGGTATACAACAACAGATAACTAGAACAAGACGCAAGGTTATAGTTTAAAAGTGTCATTTTTGGATATAAAGTAAAGCAATACAGATTTGTTATCAAAATATGAAATGCTTTTTTCTCTACAGCATCGGTTCTGAGAACCGCTAGCAGGGTTGCAACCCACAGGTTGAGAACCGCTAGCAGGGTCGCCTAAGACCACCGGAAAACACAGATATTTACATTACGATTCATAACAGTAGCAAAATTAGTTATGAAGTAGCAACGAAAATAATTTTATGGTTGGGGGTCACCACAACATGAGGAACTGTATTAAAGGGTCGTGGCATTAGGAAGGTTGAAAACCACTGGTCTAGACCATCTGCACCAAGCATGTCAAACTTGTGGCCCACAACGAATATTTTTGTGGCCCAGCCAATGTAATGTAAGAAACATTTTAGCCGAAACCGGTTTGGCTCAGTGGATAGAGCTTCAGCCTGCGGACTCAAGAGTCCCAGGTTCGATTCCGGTCAAGGGCATGTACCTTGGTTGCAGGCACATCCCCAGTAAGGGGCGTGCAAGAGGCAGCTGATTGATGACTCTCTCATCGACGTTTCCAACTCTCTGTAAAAAATCAAATAATATATATATATTTTTTTAAAATGTATTTTATTGGTTTTTTACAGAGAGGAAGGGAGAGAGACAGAGAGCTAGAAACATCGATGAGAGAGAAACATCGACCAGCTGCCTCCTGCACACCCCTACCGGAGATGTGCCCGCAACCAACATACATGCCCCTGACCGGAATCGAACCTGGGACTTTTCAGTCTGCAGACCGACGCTCTACCACTGAGCCAATCCGGTTTCGGCGCAATAAAATACATATATATTTTTAAAAGAAACATTTTAATAAAAATTTCATAACTTAATTTTTACAATATCCTGTTATAAATAATCCTACATAATAAAGAGGTAATATGCAAATTGACCCTCACACCCTCACATAAGATGTCCACCCCCATGTGGCTAAAGATGGCTGGCAAGGAAAGGTAGTTGTGGGCAATCAGGCCAGCAGATGAGGGCATTTAGGAGTAACCTGGCCAGCAGGGGAGAACAGTTAGGGGTGACCAGGCCTGCAGGGGAGGGCAATTGGGGTGACCGAGCCAGCAGGAGAGGGCAGTTAAGGGCAACTGGGCCGGCAGAGGAGGGCAGTTGGGAGTGATCAGACTGGCAGACTGGCAGGGGAGCAGTTAGGCATTGATTCAGCTGGCAGGGGAGTGGTTAGGGGGTGATCAGGCTAGCAGGCAAGTGAGTGATTGGAATCAGGCCTAAACCAGCAGTTGAACATCCCCCGAGGAGTCCCAGATCAGAGAGGGTACAGGCTGGGTTGAGGGACACCCCCCTCCCAGTGCACAAATTTCGTGCTCTGGGCCTCTAGTTATTAATAACTAACTACAACATTCGTTAATGACTGATTACTATAATCGTGTGGCATTTGTTTCCCTTACGCGCAGGCACACCATTTCTCTCCACTAATACTAGCAGCAAATATTTTAGCAGCCAATTGCCACGTCATTAGTCTTGTACTGACTTGTTTGTGCTCAACAAGAAATATTTTGCTTTTAGACAACAAGAAAAATAGGTTTATTTGCATTACGCTTATTAATTTGTACAGTTATTCAGTGTCTGGTAAGTTAATGTTCAAGAAAAAATAGTAACTTTTATTTATTTATTTATTAAATATATTTATTGATTTTTCTACAGAGAGGAAGGGAGAGGAATAGAGAGCTAGAAACAATGAGAGAGAAACATCGACCAGCTGCCTCCTGCACACCCCCTACTGGGGATGTGCCCACAACCATGGTACATGCCCTTGACCGGAATCGAACTTGGGACCTCTCAGTCCGCAGACTGACACTCTATTCACTGAGCCAAACCAGTTTTGGCAAAATAGTAACTTTTATTAAAATGTTCTATTGTTTTATATTAACGATTACTCATGTATTTCAGCCCTTTGTATTCAGCATGTTTCTTTTGAAATAAATCTACGTTTCTATGAAAATTGAAGCTTTTGGGTTTTTTTTTGTGGCCCACAGAAACTTAAACCTTGTTTATTTGGTCCAGGTTAGCCTTTGAGTTTGAGATGCTTGACCTACAGCTACAGCTATTTAAGTAACCTATGTATTATTGAGTGGCTTTTATGAATCTTGGGCTAATGAATATATTAGAGCAGGAAGTTTGATAATGGAAAGTTCTTCTTAAAATAATTTGTAATTTTGGAGAAATCTATATATCTTCAATATGCCAGGGAGACAGACGTCTATACTCACATTAGCAAGAAGACCAGGTAGTTGGCAAAGGGTGGAACGGAAATAACACCCAGAAAAAAACACTTGGTGATATCTCGACGAAACTAAGCAGAAATAAACACAGATGCAGTTTTAACCAACATTCTTAATACAATGGACAAACCCTCCATCCCACTATGCAGTAAATCACTGCAGCCAGCAAAGGACCAAGATTATTTCTATCTACATGTAGTTGGTAAGTTCCTGGAGGACCGAGCCCTGATTGGCTGTTGTTTCCCAAACATTGTCTAGTGCAGGGACTGACGTTATACCAAATACCTCCGTGAATTCTTCCTGCTCTGCAGAACCGGTCCTAGATTCTTACTCAGCTCCAAAAGGACTCCAGTCACCACCAAATATTACTTTCCTGCTGCCTTTTAGATCCTTGCAAATTTTTCTATGTTCAGAAAAAAACTGACTTTTAGTGTTTACAATTTTTATTTAGGAAGTGTGCCCCAAATTCTAAGGAGCTCTACTATGGAGGGCTATAACTCTGAAAAATCCAATCCAAACAAATAGTCTGATACTCTCATTTAGTTCAATACTTTAATCTCGTAGCAAAGGGCAAAAGCTTGCTCAGTGAGGAACAAAACAGAAAAGGAAATAACATGAGATCTTGGTTAATTTCAATGACCTCACCGTGAACTTCTGCATATCCGTCCCTGGCCCATACCTGCCTCAGATGCTCCATATCCCGGTATGAAAGTTGATGAAACTTTACATTGTGCTTCGCCATGTCTGCCTTTATTCTTCTACACTTTTTGCCATCAGCCCATAACTGCCGAAATCCTGCCTCATTGAAGTAGAGGAGAGAGTGTGGTGTGAATCATACCACAGATTCCTGTATCAAGTTTACCAACAGTACACAAACTTGTCCCTGCCCAACATTACTCTACAGCAAAGCTTCCATCTAGGCCACTTGAAATACTTGTGAGGCCAACCTTCATCTCTTTTCTCATCCTCTTCCCCGCAGCACATCACTTCTCTTCTAGCCATGTGGGCCTTCTGTAATCTATGGGATGGTCTCCCTTTTCTGGTTTATCACTCATTCTTTTTAAAAATATATTTTAATGATTTTTCACAGCGAGGAAGAAAGAGGGATAGAGAGTTGGAAACACTGATCAGCTGCCTCCTGCACACCCCCTACTGGGGATGTGCCCGAAACCAAGGTATATGCCCTTGACCGGAATCTAACCTGGGACCCTTCAGTCCGCAGGCCGACACTCTATCCACTGAGCCAAACTGGTTTTGGCTCATTCCTTTTATAAAAATCCTCACCAGAGGATTTTTTTCCATTGATTTTTTTTTTAATGTATTTTTATTGATTTCAGAAAGGAAGGAAAAGGGAGAGAAAGAAATAGAAACATCAGCCGAAACCAGTTTGGCTCAATGGATAGAGCGTCGGCTTAGAGACTGAAGGGTCCCAGGTTCGATTCCGGTCAAGGGCATGTACCTTGGTTTCAGGCATATCCCCAGTAGGGGGTGTGCAAGAGGCAGCTGATCGATGACACTCTCTCATCGATGTTTCTAGCTCTCTATCTCTCTCCCTTTCTCTCTGTACAAAATCAATAAAAATATATTTAAAAAAAATAGAAACATCAATGATTAGAGAACCATTGATTAGCTGCCTCCTGCACACCCCTCCTGGGGATTGAGCCCACAAGCTGGGCACGTGCCCTTGACTAGAATCGAACCCGGGACCTTTCAGTTCGCAGGCTGACACTATCCACTGAGCCAAACCATCATTTAGGGCTCTAATGATTTTTATATTGTGTTTTTCCCCCCACTGATTTTTAGAGAGTGGAAGGAAGGGAGGAAAGAGGAATGAGGGAGAGGGAAGAGAGGAAGGGAAAAAGAGAAACATGGACATGAGAGACACATCGATTGCTTGCCCATGTATGTGCCCTTGACCAGAATCAAATGCTTGGCCCTTTAGGGGGTGAGCCACTGTAACCGCTTTGAATACTGGTCAGGGCGTCATTCCTTTTTTAAAATAAAAATTCAGGGGGACGAGGGCAGGCTGGAGAGGGTCAATGGGGGGGAAAGAGAAACATATGTAATACTTTCAACAGTATTAAAAAATAAATATAAAAATTCACCCTGGCTGAATGGCTCAATTGATTTAGAATATCAGCCTGTACACCAAAAGGTTGTGGGTTTGACTCTAGTCAGACACATACCTAGGTTGCGGTTCAATCCGGTTGGAGCTCCTAAGGTAGGCAACTGGTTTATGTTTCTTTCTCTCCCTCCCTCTCTCTCTAAAGAACCAATAAAAACATATACTCCGATGAGAATTTAGAACATAAAATTCAAAGCTCCTTAACCTCGGGAAGTCTTGCTCAATCAACCCTACATATTCCCTAACCAGATATTAACTCATCTCTTTTCTGGAACATTTGTATGTTACTGTAATTCAACGTATTTCTATAATTGCATTTTTCTTTTCATTACATAATTCTTTCATTTGTCTAGAATTTTAGTTTTTAAAAATGCTTTCCTATTTAAGAATGAAATGATAGAATGTCTAGGTTGGCTTCAAAATAATATAAGGAGATGGCATGGTTAGAAGTGAAATAAGATTGGAGGCCATGAATTAATTGCTGAAGTGAGGTTGAGTACACAGGAGTTCATTATATTATCTTCTCTACTTTTGGGTAAGTTTAAATTTTTCCATAATAAAAGACTTAACAACAAATCAACCAAAATGCTTTCAAAGGCGTTGGTGGCATAGTGGTGAGCATAGCTGTCTTCCAAAATGCTTTCACTCCCTTTTCTATTGGATCCTAGTTATAAACTGGGAACAGAGAAAGCAACCATTTTTATCTCCACTTTACAAATACAGATAAGCAATTTGCTAGTAATAATTACGATACTATTCAGAGCTGACAAAGTGGCAGTTTATTGTAATTGGTATTATGACAAAAGTATAGAGTATAATAACAGTTATAGTACCTTTATGAGCACTTACTAAGAATCAGGCCTTAAATACTTTATATGTATTAATCTAATCTTCACAACCAGGAGGCCAACAGGCAGGTTCCATTCTTACCCCCAGTTCACAGACAGCCCGGCCTGTGTGGTCGCCGGTTGAGCGTGGGCCTATGACCCAGGAGGTTGCAGTTGGAGTCCTGGTCAAGGGCACATGCTCAGGTTTGTCTAGGTCCCCAGTGGGGGGCATACAGGAGGCAGCCAATCAATGATTCTCTCTCATTGATGTTTCTGTCTCTCTCTTCCTCTCCTTTCCTCTCAGAAATCAATAAAAATATATACTAAAAACTTGCCGAAACCGGTTTGGCTCAATGGATAGAGCGTCGGTCTGCGGACTGAAAGGTGGGGGGTGTGCAGGAGGCAGCTGGTCGAAGTTTCTCTCTCATCGACGTTTCTAGCTCTATCCCTCTCCCTACCTCTCTGTGAAAATCAATACAATATATTTAATATATATATATATATATATATACACACACACACACACACACAAAAAAAAAAAAACAACCAAACAAAAAAACACACACCAAAGGGCAGTGAGGTTAAGAAACTAGTCCAATTAGCCAGTGGCAAGCTGGCTCTAGAGTGGACAGCTGACTCTATACCATCTCCTAGTAACTAGCAGAGCTCTGACCAGATCAAAACATTCAGAAACCAAGTACTATAGCACTATTTCCACAACATGCTACCTAGGATAGATGTGTAATAAGCATTAAACCACATTTTCTTTTTGGCCAAGTCAACTGGTAAACCAAAGGGAAGGCATGTGCAGCCATAGATCCCTGCCCTTACGTAAGCTATTGTCAAGTGTGCGGTTAAAAGGCGCAAAAATACCTATATTCCCTCTGGATATTGTTAGAAGGTGTTTCTAATAAAACCTTTCTAGAAACATCCTCAAGAAGCGCTAACTTATAAAACCAAGTTGAATATTCAAGCATTTATGCAACATAAGACATCTCAGCTCACTCTTCCCACAGCAAAACCTGCAAACTGTCTCACTGACGCCCACCCTCTGACAATGCGATTCTAGTGGCTCCCATTTCAGAGTTGTTTTTACCTTTAGTGAAGGTGGTGTACAGGACATAGAAGCGGGGAAAATAGCGTTCCAAAAAATGATGGTATTTCTCACTGATCACTTTGGTCTTAGTCGCCACGTAAGAGATTAAATTCTTCACATCTGCCTTTGGAGAAAGATGAATCCTGGAAGACCTACAAGGAGGATCAGAGAGACTATGTGGGAGTCAGTCCAGAACGCCCCCGTCCCACACGGGCCTCGGAGAAGGCGTGCTAAGACCCGAAGCCTCCGACACACAAGGAACATCCTGGGATCAAGAGACAGCAATCAGATTGAGAAAAAAACAAATGAGGCGGAGGAGAGGCGGGCAGGTAGGAAGGGATGTCGGGGGGCGGCAGGAGACTGGTGAGAGAGGACACCTGAGGCCGGAGCGGCAGGAGGAGCCAGAGATGGGGTCCGGGGGAACCCCGGTAAAACCTGAGCGGAGACCGGGGGCTGGAAGCCGAACTCACAGTGCGCTGGGATCCAGGCTATAGGGGGCACTCAGCGTTGAGAGGATCAAGAAGCTAAGCCACTAGCGGGGATCGGGGTGCGACTTCTGAGCAAAATAACAAAACCTCCCAGGTCAGGGCGTGCAACCCTGACCAGCAAGAGACAGCATGCATGCATGCAAGCAAGAAGACACTGGAGGGGCCTGGGCATCCGAGATGCTGCTTTCTCCAGGTCCCTCACCAGGGGGGTCCCCACGTCCGTCCAGCGCGAACGAGCTGCAGCCTCCGCGTGACATATGGTCGAGGGGTGACGGCCGAACCCCACAGAGCGGTCCGAGCCCAGCACAGCCTGGACAGCGCCATCTTCTCGGCGAGAGAGGGGGGAGGAAGGGTCTCCTCCAGGTCAAGGGTCACCGTAATGCGCGTCCCTGTGACGACGCATGCGCCTTCCTTGAGACCTGATTGGCCACCGCGGAGCGCTGGCCTCGCGCTAACCCGGCACCGAACGCGCCCAGAAGCCGGAGCGCAGAGGCAGGGCTGCGATTGGACGCCGCCGGGGCTTCCGGCTTTCCGGACGCCGGAAGCAGGCCGGCCCCGAAGGGGCGAGTGCTTCTGCCGGTGGCAGGGGCTGTGATCTTGAGGACGTCCTCTCGCTGAGTGACCCCTCTCGATTCCCTAGGGCCGCGGTTGCCCTCTGTCCGACTCTCCCGCACCGGCGCCTGAACGCGGTAGGTGCCAGAGGTCCGTTTGGCAATGTCCGCGGCCGCGGCGCGTCCTGGGTGCTGGGAGGCCCCGCGGCGCCCTCCCGTGGCGGCGGCGGGACGAGGCCGGGAGCCATCCACGGCCAGTGAACAGTCGGGGGCCAAGGCCGGCGCCTGGGAGCGGCTCGGGGCGAACCAAGTCCGCTTTTCCTTTGGTCGGCGTTGCCCAGGTTCGGCGGGGAAATGCCTTTCGTTTAGCGCCTCCTGCGGACCAGGCCCGGCCCTCAACGTAAGTGTCATCTTTCTTCTGAAAGTCTTTCTCTGACCAAAAGGCACACATTTTCTCCTCTCAAGGGTGTGTATTTTTTTACATATATATAGCACTTGCCACCTGCATCGTTTGTATGTTTTGTTTCCTTGTTTGGCAGGCTCCCTAACTAGGCTGAGGGCAAGTGTTTTGTCTCACTCCCTGCTATACCCTAATGAATGTTTAACAAGTTAATTAATAGCCGAAACCGGTTTGGCCCAGTGGATAGAGCGTCGGTCTGCGGACTGAAGGGTCCCGGGTTCGATTCCGGTCAAGGGCATGTACATTGATTGCGGGCACATCCCCAGTAGGGGGTGTGTGTGTGTGTGTGCAAGAGGCAGCTGATCCATGTTTCTCTCTCATCGATGTTTCTAGCTCTCTATCCCTCTCCCTTACTCCCTGTAAAAAAATCAATAAAATACAGTTTTTTAAAAAATTAATTCATAACTGAAGCTGGGAAGGATTCCCAGAAGTGGCACTTGGCTGCCTCCAACAGTTAAGACCTCTTGAATACATATGAATATGTATGAAACATAGGTTTACAGTTGCTAGAATGGAAAATAACACAATAATGAATAGTAATACAAGAATACACGCGGGTTTCTGCGGTAGGCAGTTAGACATGGTCAGGGCAAGGATGATGGGCCAGGTACAGAAGGTCGTCAGGTGGAAAAGCCCCAGATGCCCAGTGGAAACATCCATCCGTGTAATTGCCAGAGCTGGAGGGGGGAGGGGGAGGAGAGGAGGGGCTTTCAACTTTCCTCTGACCCTAAGGATAAAGGTCAGACTCCTTAACCAGGCCTCCCTTCCCGGCCTCATCTCCTGCCTCAGTGTAGCTCTCTCCCCTTGGCTCTCTGTGCTAAGGAACATTGGCCTTTCCGTTCCGCCAAAGGCCCCGCAGGCCCCTCCACCCCCGGGCTTTTGCCCCGGTTGTTTGCTTGGCGTTGTTTTTCCCCTCCCTTCCAGCTTGTCTTTCAGGCTCCAGCTGAAATGGTGGTAATCAAAGCTAACACTTACTGAGCAGACACTACTGCCATCATTTTTCTTAGGGCTCTACTGTATTAAGTCACTTAATCCTCACTTAACTTCATGAGGTAGATACTATTGTTAGCTCCACTCTCTAAGTGAGGTTAAGTAATCAGTATTTGAGTCAGCAGTTGAAACCAGACAGACTGGGCACATGAATTACTGCTGCGTGTATATAAACATCGCTGTGACAGGAAACTCTTTCTTAAGCCCACAGAGTTAGGTTTCCCTGTAGCTAGCTATGGTTATCCTTCATAGCACTTAACCTGTTAACCGAGCAGGACGTATAAATACGTCAAACGTAAACAATATCGGGTACGGGTAGGACATATGAATACGTCCTTGAAATATATGTTGCGCCCTCAAACGGGCGGGACGTATATTTCCGAACAACAAAGGTATTAGTCATCCGGGCATGTCTGGACATGAATTTAAGACACGGAGGGAATCAGTATAATTTCGCTATTGAGAGTGGTGGACGTGTTCTGGGTGAGCAGTGACGGGTACGTACTTAAACTTACCTGCCTATCTTCGTATTATATATTATTTACTTATATTTTTTATATCTCCAACCTTTTTATTATAGAATACATTTTTATAAGTATCTATCAAAATGAATGAAAGCGATATCAGTGATGACAAAATCAATGTACCAGCAGGTACTAAAAGGAGACGTACTATGAGTTCGTCATCGGAGTCATCTGACAGTAATTGTGACTACGACACGGAATTGAGCGATACTGAGAATGAAGATGGTGAAGAAGTTGATGAAGTTGGTCCTAACAACAGCATTGTTTCTGAAGCATGGCTACCTCAAAATGCAGAAAGACCACCGTTTCCCTTCATTGCACATCCTGGAAAAACTTTCGATACTCCTCCAAAAAAAGTTCCTTTGTTTTATCTTGAGAAGTTTTTGGATGAGGAACTTATCAAATTAATTACAGAGCAAACAAATTTGTACGCCACCCAATTTTTTGATAATGATCCTGAGTTGAAACCACGTTCGGGAATTCGAAAATGGAATGATACAAATGAAGCTGAAATGAAGATTTTTTGGGGGCTCCTAATTTTACAAGGAATAATTGGAAAACCAGCTTTGGAATTTTATTTTTCAAGAAGAAGAATAATTGAAACACCATTTTTCTATGAAACTATGTGTGAAAGCAGGTTTGCATTATTATGTAAGTTTTTGCATTTTGCAGACAATCTAAGTTTTGATCCTAACACATCTAATAGAAAAACATATAAAATTGATCCAATCATCAATAATTTGTCAGAAAAGTTTAGAAGTTTTTATGTATGTGAACGAGAAATATGCGTAGATGAATCTCTTTTATTATGGAAAGGGAATTTATCTTGGAAACAATATATATCCACAAAAAGAGCTAGATTTGGAATGAAGTTGTTTGAGTGAAAGCCAATCTGGATACATACAAAATATAATTTTATACACAGGCAAGGACACAAATTATGGTTCGAACTACCCACAAGAAAAACAATCAACAAGAATTGTTTTGGAGTTAACACATGACTTACTGAATAAAGGGTATAGGATTTACTTAGATAATTTCTATACGTCAATTCATTTGGCTGAACTCTTGTGTCAAAACAATACAGACATTGTTGGAACAATGAGGATAAACAGAGTTGGAATCCCCAGTGAAATAAAAACAAAAAAATTACAGAAAAATGAACATATAGTAAGATTCAAAGACAAACTTATGATTTTAAAATGGAAGGATAAAAAAGACGTATTGATGCTCAGTTCTATTCATAATGACGAAAAGACAATGATTGAAAAGAGAGGAAGAAGGCAAGAAAAGCCGTATGTTGTCCTGGATTATAACAAGAATATGGGCGGTATAGATTTGGGAGATGGAGTTATGGTGGCCTACACGCCTGTCCATAATAGAGTAAAAAAATTTTATAAAAAAATTTTTCTACGATTAATTGATATGTGCTGCTTCAATGCATATATTATATACAAAAAAGATAAAGGTCAGTTGGATCAATTACACTTTTTGATAGAGTGTGTAGAGAAATTGGTAGATAACAACATAGTGAAAAGCTGCCCAAAGACATCAACAAACAGCTCTATATCTAAACAATCACGCTTAGTTGAAAGGCATTTTCCAGAACAAATGAAAAGCGATATAGGAAAAACTAAATCCAGGAAATGCCGAGTTTGCTACAAAAAATGTTTTAGGAAAGAATCTACATACTGGTGTCCAGATTGTGAGGTAGCACTATGTGTCAACAATTGCTTTAAAATATATCACACACAAGTTGAGTTTTGAATTTTTACATCTATATTTCAATTTTTAAACTCATTTCTATTTTATTTATGTTCTTTTGTTTATTGTTCTGCAATTGTTAACTTTTTTATTTTTTATTGTGTATCAAAATAAAAAATATATTTTTTGTTATCTTTATAATTGTAAAATTTATAATTTTTTAATTCGATGTTTCCATTTTTTTGTTGGTATTCTTTTCTATTTGTTTGTAATTTTGTATTTTCCTTTGTGCTTTATATATAAATAAACGAAAAAATATATATTTCATAATCTTTTCATTTATTTTAAGTATAAATAAAAATAATAATAATAATATGAAATTATGTCCACCGGGCGTACTGACACACCCTAGTGAAAGAGCATGTGCCCGTTGTAAATTGCATAATTGAAAAGGGAACTCCGGGTTAACAGGTTAAAATAATTAACTACAGCATTATGCTCTTAATGACTGTTCCCCATTTGATTCTAAACTCACTGCATTTATGGTCCCTAGTTCAGCCCCTGGCACAGGAGGTGCTTATTATAGTATTTATTAACCGAATACATATACCTGAGTATAAAGTAATATTTTTCCTCTCAAAATAATTCTTTTGAGCCCAGCTGGCGTGGGTCAGTGGTTGAGCGTCGACCTATGAACCAGGGGGTCACGGTCGGGCACATGCCCGCATTGCAGGCTTGATCCCCAGTGTGGGGCGCGCAGGAGGCAGCCAATCCATGATTTTTCTCTCATCATTGATGTTTCTTTCTCTCTCCCTTTCCCTTCCTCTCTCTGAATGCAATAAAGATACATTTAAAAAATAACAATTCTGTTGAAAGGAAGTTGCTTTATATGTTGTGTTCTTTTATTCACTAATAAATAATTTATTCACTAATTCCACAATTATTGAGCATCTCCGCAGGCCAGGCATTGTTTTTGTTGCTCGAGATAAGTCAGAGGTTAGACAAAGAGTACTGCCCTACCTGGACGGTGTGCTCAGTGGTTGAGCGTCAACCTATAAACCAGGAGGTTACAGTTCGATTCCCAGTCAGGACACA